TAAAAATTTCTTGTGTTCATATGTGCACAAATTTTTTTTTGCAGATCATAAGATCGACGAATTTCCAACACTGTTCACCACCTTTCTTTCCATGTGGCTGTTAGTCCATAATGGAATTTAACATTTAATATAAAGTAACCACACTTCCAAACAGAAAAGGGTTTGATGTGTATCATTTCATTTAGGTAATTCCTGGCAAAATTGACACAGATCACGTGATATGGAACGTTTATTAAATGTTTATATAGAACATGCTCTTTTTCCAATTTATGCTCTCGCACTCTTTTAATTGTCTTTTTATATTTGGATGGGTAAGTCATTTTTACAGTTTTCTTTAAGTTTAGGAACAAGTTTTTAAAAAATAAAATATTTAAGTTGGTCATGTGATTTTTATTTTTTGATTTCGGGGTGTGGCGCAGCAATTGGATGTTTTATATGTATCAAATCCTTTAAACAATTGATTGAGCAGACCGACTTATATTAAATAATAATATTATTATGATCTTTCTTTTTTTTTTTTGTTTTATAAATCTCATTTTTTGATAAGTCAAAACACCCAGCCACTCATGTACGGCTTATCAACTTCACCTGCGTAAGGGTTTCACTTCAACAATAACGAATGATCAAACAAGTTCTGTTGATAAAGAAATATTATTATATTGTGTGCATCACTTAACTTTTTTAACATTAAAAGCTTTGTAAAGACTTATAATGTTATTAATTGCTATGCCCTATAAAAAACTTTTACAGAGAAGAGTATATTTCCCGTATTATATATAATTAATATTAATATTAGTATGTTTTGTTGTTTTGTATGAAACATATGGAAAACATATTAATATGGAAAACACAAGTTCTATTACTATATTGATTTTTCGTATGTTTTTCATATTTTTTCTGTATTTAACACACCATTTCTCGATATTGAAAACATACTGAATTACTTGTCCATCACGAATTTACAACCTTCCTTTTTGACCTCCAACATAATGAAACAATTGTTATTTATTTTTATGAAATTTTAAGAAATCAATCAATCTGATCCTTCCACACCTTGTCATTCAAGTGGTAGCGGTGAAAAGCTTCAGTGGTTGGTCCTCTGAGTTTTACATCCTGATTGTGTGCAACTGCAAGCTTGTAGAATAATTTCCAAAAAATATTAATTCGATATATTGAACTTAGGTGTCAGGTTCAATAGAGCTATCCGTTCATATTCTTATACCAATTGACAGATTGACAATTACGGTCGATTTGAATTATATCAACAGGATTAGTTGTACATCCAATTGAGGACTTGTGAATTCTGTTAGAGCTGTGGGCGCCACAATGGATAAATTATCGTTCTAATACCGTAATTTTTCTGTACCAAAATTTTTCTAAATGTGGCAATTTACATATTGGACTCCAATTAGCGTATATAGTAAAAAAAAAGTAGCAATTGGTTCGGTTGGACTCTGTTGTATAGTGGGGCTCACAATTACATATCCAATAAAAATAGCCTTTTCAAAAAGGGTTATTCAACAAGATAGGAAAGAGATTTGAAAAAATCAAATCATCATTTTAAATAAACTATCTACTGACGATTGTGATTTAATTTGCTATGTATATCCCAAGTGCAGTATATTTCTGAATATATGATAAATGTCAAAGCTTATATATTTAAAACATGGATCCTTTATATAGGGTAGCTTGAGTATAAACCTCAGGCCACTAAGGTGTAAACCAAGTGCTTGCTTTGATGATATTCCCAAGTTACACATACCAAAAAAAAAAGGAAGATATTTTTTTTTACTTGAGAGTGAACCTCAAACTTTTGTCCTTGTCGGATGACCATAAATAGTAGCCTAATTTGGAAATTACTTTACTTAATTTAGAAATATCATCAGTTTTTAAAAATTGAGTATTTAATTGTGACAAACTGGAGTTGGTGAATCATGAAGAAAATTCCATTCTGAAATTATGCTGCTTCAATTGAAGACAAGAAAGTGAAATAAGTAATGACGAATCTTTTATAAAAGACATTAGAAACGAAAACCAGATTCAATGGAATACAAGCAATGTGTCGGTGAACGGAAATACTGATGATTGAGTAATTAGAAGAAGGGGAGGAGGAGGAATTAAGTGAATTAGTAGGTTAATTGAAAATTGATGATTTATTATAAACATTATAATGTTTAAAAATATAAAATATTTTATTTGTAATCGTGAATGCTGAAATATCATTGGCTATTCAATTTATTTATTGGGCTGGACCGTTTGGGCCTCAATTTCCAACGCTGTATGTAATAAACTTTCTTCTAAAGAATAATTTCTTTCGATAGTTGTCTCATTGCTTTATTTTGTTTATTTAGGCATGTCTTGAAGTTTGAATCAACTTATTATCATGTAGTTATCCACAAAAAATATCCGCAATCGTCAAATCGATTTATAAATAAGGATTCCGAGGTTTCACGAAATTTGCGGATATTTTTTGCGGATAACTAACTACACAATTATTATCCATAATTCCGAAAAAGTTTACCGGAAAATTGCAGGAATTTTTTAATATTAATATGAAGTATAATAATAAGCAACACTTTCCCTTTCCGGATTGCATTATTGTTATTATTGTTATTATTATTATGGATAAATTAAAATAAATCATCGGAATAATAATAGTAAATGATTTTTTTAAACATGAAATCTTTCATTTTATGCATAGTTACTTTCTACTAACCAAAAATAGTTGTGAAAATTATCCTAAATAATACTAGTTTATTATTTAAACAAACATTGAGATGGGGCGAGCGAGGTACATAAGAAAATTTCATAATATTGACATTAATTACTAATTTTGTCATAACGGATTTTATGTGGATATGAATATGATAATGATAATGAAGCAAAAATTTTAAATCCGTTATAATGCGAATGACCCGCTGTAGAAATGTTCGAGTGTAAAACCCAAGTTCTTTGTTATTATTATGTAAGCGAACGCTTCGGGTTAAACCGAGAAATGGCCTTACATTACACGAGATCGTCATATATTGACTTTAAATGGTAATAAATTATATGTTACAATAAAAACTTTTTGGTGTAATTAAAAATTAAAATAAACACATGTAAACGTAAACTCGATAAGTCGGACACAGCAATCAATTACTCAAAGTAACTGACTTATCACGTTTACATTTGTATCAAAATTCTGGGTGAAGTGCTTGGATACAAAATTCTGATTGACTAATGATAATAAGTTTTGCAATGGAAGAATGCATTCAATTAATTAAAGCACAAAATAAATTAAAAGTCTGATTGTTGCTTCACCAATTTATAATTTAATTGTGTTAATTATTGATTATAAAACCACTGAATAAATTAATTTGGATCTTTAACACCAACATTCCCAAAGTTCAAAGATCCTATCATTAATTGATAATCACAAAAGGTCCACTTGATCAAAAATCAAAATATTTAAAATCTACTACTTCACTTCCAAATCTTGAAACTGTTTTCATACTATCGTCCAGCTGGCCATTTCTATTAGGCGCTGTGCATTTCGTTAAAATAAATCTCAAAGTTCTAGATGTTGGTTGTAGACCAAATGATAGAATATATTTGATCCGATCAATCAATTGGCCAATATTTCCAATATATAATATGGAATACTGACCAGACAAAATGAATGTGATTACTATTATGATTTAATAATTTTATAATCTTCCATATGCACCCAAAATCTAAGGATCAATGTCTCAAAACATGATGTTCAAACTTTTAACAGGGGAATCTAGAGGGTTTGGTGTATACATGTAGCCCAAATTGATTTATGAATGTCATAATATTACAACATCTGAGTGATAGCCGCAATTAAAAGCCGTAATGTCGTAATTAGGCCATAATATTGTAATTAGGTCATAATGTCAACAAATGAAACATATCTCTATTATAAAGCAACGAATGCTTTAGTGAAATTCCTTTAACTTTTCTTTGGTCAGCCGTACGTCTGCAAAATACTTTAACACAATACAACAAAATGGTATGCATAAATACTTTGATTAATAAATATCAGCATTTTCTATCTGGCCGAACAATCTTAACACCTTACACAAAAACATTTAAAAATGTTTGCGCTTAACAAAAACCAAAAATTAAACCTTTGCTTTCTGCCAAAGCAAGTAACCAAAACCGAGTTACAAAATCTCAGAGTTCTATAAGAATCTATATTACGAATAGAAACTCTAGTTCTATATCACTCTGATAATCAATAAACAATTAGACCTGCTGTTTAAATAATTAATTTGTAAAAATGTTTGTCGCAAAATGAATTAATTAACAATTTTCTGCCTCTACTCTTGTGAGCAAAGCTCTGAAATGTCAATTAATTAGTTGACTAGTTACTAACTAATAGTAGATAATAGTCATTAGTAATTTCCACTTGGTCAAAAAGCTATGATAATTTTTATGTTAATATTAATCCAAGTGCTAGAACTTCTTGTACAACCATACTAATCAAATAACAGATAATAATTCTAAAAAAAAAAAGTAAAGGAGGAAAAAAATAAGCAAAGCAATTAACCATAATAACAAAATTATTCGTGAGTAAGTATAGTTAATTATTAAAAAAATGGTGGTTATCGTCACTTGTCGTCACTCTAGTTAACATTATAAAAGCAATCATGTTTTGTAGCTATGTGCAAGAATTCAGAAAAACATTAATTTACATCCATTTTAAATCCTTGATGTAATTCTAGTATTAGTTCTGTTGAGGAGACCGGTAGAGTAATTGTTGAAGCCGATGATGTTGACTATTCCGATGATAATGAGTCCAATAATGCAATGATAGTGAGCCCCGATGATAATGATGGAATCAATGATGGTAATGCTGATGGTAGCAGATCTGATGTGAATTAGTTTCATATTTGTTATAATGCAATTGTGATGTTAAAAAATTTTACATCCTGAAATTATTTATAGTACAAAGGTTCAGCATGTTCCATATTATCTAGATTATACATGTTGTCAAAATTAGTTTGGCTTTGACTCAAGCTCCAAAATCTCAATTTTTAATTGCATCTGAATCAATTATTTATATGTTTTTTATATTAATATGACATGTCAAAAATTTACCTGATTGAGTCAAGTTTATAATAATAATTTGATGTTGGGAATAGTAAATATTTTGGTACTTGCTTTCAGAATAGATTGGACTTTTTCATGAAATTGGAATATTGATATTGTGCTATTTTCTATTACCAATAATACAAGAACATAATGTTTAAAAAGGATCCGTCATCTTATGAATGTTGAAGTTTATAATTAAAACTTTGAGGTGGGTATTAGGATATAAATTTCTGATTGGCTGACGCATAAATATGCAGTTATTATTGAGTTAAACGGGTTAATCTTTATTTAATACACAAAGCGTGTTTTTTTGTTCTTCAAATATGAAATTTGCGAAAGCGAATTATTATTTTTCTGCGACGGGTTTCTGTTTTTCAAAGTTTGCACATGTGGATATTAGTAAAACTGCATATATCTTTCCACCGACTTGAGTACGCCACATATACAAATTTGTTAATTATAATAATTTCCAAATTTGGTCAGCACACGCCCAATCATCATAGGCTCATCCATTATATTCTCTTCTAAATGTGACGATTCCAATTTCAACTGGTTCACATCATCAGCTATTCGATATGAATTCGCATGACCACTAAGCTTCATTACGCCAAGGCTTTGGAGTTGTGTGTGAAAATGAAATCAATGTGAATTTGCAATTCAAGTTTGTGAAAATTAGCCAATCAAAAGAATTCGCACCCATATTTAATTATAGATTTCAATTTCACATTTAACCAAGAATTTCATTACAATAAAAATTTAAAACCAACCAATTTGTATCATATCGTGCTTATCTTCATTGAATAATGTTATCACCTGATTTTTAAAAATAATTACTGACATCAAACTTGTGATTTCCATCCATTGATATTAATGCGAACGATCGATATTCGATTATATCATCCAACTTTCCATATCAACAGATTCTGGTGTGACTTTTATACACTTCAACAACATTCTCATAAATTGCCATTAACTCTTGTAGACATGTTAAGACAAGATCTATGATAAAGAGTCGTTGACAATGATATTAATCAAAATGGTAGACATGTGAAAATGTTTTTATTTATTGACTTCAAAAAATACAAACTCCTTTTAGAATTTCTTCATCGATATCAATAGTTAAGTTAGTTCCTAAAAATAGACAACAATCTAGATCTTGGCTGATCAACCTTGAAATCGGAGTAAGACTATTTCGTAAAGTCCGCATAGTATGCAGTTTTTTTTGCTCGAGATCATAAAGACACATACGAAAATTAAATTAGTAATTATTTTAATTTTATTATTTATCGGTAAAGTTTATTATGTAAAATGTTACAAGTAAGCGACCATTGGTTCCTTTGTATTGGCCACATGTGACACGATTGTATGTGAGTCAATCCGGCCATATGTTTGTTTATTGTTTCAGATTTCAGTTGACAAAATTAGTACCAATAAAAGCTTTACCTATTTTTAGACTTTGAGTTTAAGGAAAAAATAGATATACGATGAATGAGAAGGCAATAATGCTGATCACGCATATCATTAACTCAAGCCACAACACTCAACCCTATAAAGTGGCTATTCTGCGTACAGATAACTATTTTTAGACTGTCGATCTTAATTTTCTTATTTATTTTCCTACACCTTTTTAGTCAAATTCTAAAGGTTATATGAATGAGTCCATTACAAAAAAGTCATTGCAAAGGTTTTGGTGCTAGTAATATATAAAATAATTGTGGCGTACCATAAAAAACAAATGTAACAATATTTTAATCAGGGCATGAATTTAATTCTATAAATAGGTAACCCTGGATCGAAATAAAAATTATATCATGTGAAAGGTGACAAAGCGGGTTTGACTTTAATCGGAGAAAAATGACAAAAAATTCTCAATCGAGAACCAAAATCAAATTAATGTGCATTTTTTACGCATGTTATATTTATCAAAACAAAAGTAATGTGTTTTTTTTTTTAAAGAGACTTAATTGATCTTTAATGAATTCAACCAAAAAAGTGGGGTGCCAATATCATCATTATATTGCTATAAAAAGAAAAGGTCCCTTCGAAAAAAATAGACACTAAAGACTTGTGTGTATTTTTAGAGCCATTTTCAAATGAAATAACAAATAAAGAACCATTTTTATTTTAATTAAAGTCAATTTTTGCTGCTTTCGTCATGTAAAACAACCTTCCACAAAAGTTCCCTCTTATCACTAACGAGAATGAGAATGTTTAAAAAAAAAAAAAACATTAAAATATATAGCAAATAGCTTTATCTTCATGGCTATCAATTATAATTGTTGTTGAAAAAAACTACGCCAAGTAAAAATATAAATTGCTCACCAGAAAAGAAGTTGCGTTGTAAAAATTACAACGGTAAAAAAATGGCCGATATAATTTTAAAAAATCCGAAATATATGTATGCATAGTTTACAAAACGAAAATTTTGTTTTTGTTTGTTATTTTATTAAAATTATTAAAATATTATCACATTAATTATTACTATAATCATCACATTTAATAATAATAAATTTAAAATGACGTTATTATTTTTCAATTCTGTTACACCGAAATCTATTTATAGACAGAAAAAATTTTATAAATACTCTTTTTTTTTTTTTTGAAAAGCAAAGCAACTTTCTAACTTTCTAGAAAAGTAAATAAAAATTAAAAAAAGAAATAAATCTAAAAGAATTTTTTCGAAAATTATAAACTTTTATTAACAAATATAAAACTCTTTCATCCTTATTCTTTCATCATGTCACCATTAAGATCCCAACAAATTGGAAGAAATTATTGTTTGGAACAAGAAACAGAAATTGTTCACAATTCCGATAGGAAAAAAAGAAATTTAATTATCGTTCGACCATTTTCTTCAAAGACAACTTGTCATCATCATCGTCGTCGTCGTCATGGTTATTCTTGTTATCTTAATAATAATAATAGAAGGCATAAAGAACAACTAAAACAACACAACTGTTTCAAGAACAATGACGAAGATCAATCCGACGAATATTTGAAAATTTTGAGTGAGCGAATTAACAGAATTGAAAAACTTATTAATGATCTCAGCGACAAAGTTAATTCTACATCACCACAGCCACTCACTATTAATGGTACCCAAGTTTCAAATTCTGATCGTCTTCGCTTTACACCATCATCCTCTGCCGCTACCCCCGAAGCCGCTACTACTAAAGCGAAAATTGACTTTTCTAAAATGAATTTGGACGAATTAATCGAATTTTCAAATAAATTAAAAAAATTTAATTCAAAAGAAATAAAAGAAAATAATAATCAATAATAACAATACCAAAGAACGGCTTCAACTCACAATAAATCTCAGTCTCGTTATTACCCAGAACATTATGAATGAATTTAGAATTAAAAAAATTGTATAATAGGTTACTCAATTAATTATTATTATCGCTTGTTTTCTATTTTTATTTCCATTCAAATTATTACAATTGATTGATTGATTGATTGATTATAAAATATTATGAAACAATTACAACAATTACAACAATTATGAAGAAAAATTTTATTTTTCGCATAAGAAAATTTTGAAAAATTAAGAACATTATGTAATATTACTTAATTGATTTCTTTCGACTTTTTATTTTGGTTTTTCTTTAGATATTTAATTCTACTTTTTTTTTTTCTGAAAAATGATAATAAAATTCGTTTTCTCTAATAAACAATCCGTTAATGTCTGTATGAAATCATTTTCAATTGATTACTCCAAAAAAGGAAAATATCATTATCTGGTCTAACTCCGGCCGAATTCAATATAATGGATCGGACATGCATAATTTTTATAAGATTTTTACTACTATAATCATTTGGTAATTGATTGTGTATATTATTATTGTTATTATTATCAATTAAGTCATTCTTTATTACTCTTTATTTTTTCCTAAAACAAACTTCTTTATAATAATATTTAAAACACATTTTGGGCAAAACTATTCTTTTTTGGTTTATATCGTGCTCCAAACATTTGGAATTTCGCTTTGCTTCGTCCGCCTTGTTCCACCATACACAACTATTATCATTTCTAATGACTATTACTAGTAAAGTATTTTTCATTGGGAATATCTAATGCGGGCACAAAGCTATTTTTATTTATTTTTTTTGCTTTATTACAAGTAACGTGATTAACTAATATATTATATATTTTTAATTGAAAAGAAAAGGAAATTTTAAATAAAAATTATTATTATAATGATAAATAGGATGTTTATATAAATAAATAACTTAATAAATAATTAAAAGAACTAAAAACTCGATTCTTCTCCACCATATTCTACGTTTTTTAATCCTGCTTCATTCTTCCTTTAACAGCTTTATTTTGCCTCTCCTCCCCCAATACAAACTGTTTCGCTAGCTCGTTCACTTGGCTTAATGTTAATATTAATTTTAGTATTAGTATTGACATTATTATTATTATTGTTACAATGATGATGATGATGTTGTTGATAATATCGATATTGCACTATTTAAAATTACTCCAAGGATGCCGGCATTATTATTATATTTTGACAAACCATCTTCACATTTTTCTTCTTCTTTTAAATCGAGACTTGGTAATATGTGAGAAGAAGAAGAAGAAGAAGAAGAAGAAGAAGAAGAAAAAGAAAAGGAAAAAGATTGTTCTTCATTCATATTGTAGTTGCGCCTATTGTTATTATGAGTATTTGGTCCTGCCAATGAAGTTCTTACTAACGCTGTAATAACTGCGAAATATAAAAGAGCCTTTACACTTTGTTGTTGTGATGTTTTTGTTTCCATATTTTTTTTTATTAATACTATCGTTTTCTTTTTTAATAAATTTTTAAATAATTTTTTTCAAGAAAATCTTCATTAAAAAATAACAAACTTATATATACTGTGTATAGATGACTAATTGAGTTAGAATCTGTTTTTTGTAAAAGATAACATCATTTATTGTTAGCATTAGTACACAACAAATAAATAATGGCAATTTATATTAATATTAATTAATAATTTCCCACACATTAATATTTAGTTAATTTTATTCGTTAAACAACCATTGGTTAGAAAAGAAATGTGGCAGTTCTTTAAAAGAAATAAAGCAAGGGGAAAATGATAAAATTTCCTTAAAAAATACTTATTGCCTATTAATTTGTACTAATGCGCTCATTCATTTATTTTTTTGGAATTCTTTGAATGACTTTTTAATATTATTATTATGGGGCAATGATGTGTGACAGGAATTTGATGACAAAAAGTAAAAAAAGCCTCGACTTTTTTTTGACCTGCATTGTTTTTCAAATAAATAAATAACCCAATCTAATAATCCCAAAGGCTTTTTTTTGATGTAATTTTTTCTATAAATCATTTTTTGGGGAATGTCATTGTATTTTTCTCTTATGATTATTCTAGCAGCTCTGATTCTCCATCACCATTAACAATTTGCATAGCCTTGATAATCTCGAGCTATGGAATCAATCAACAATGTTTTTGATGGAAAATTGAAAAGTTTTAAATTTAAAACAATTACCCTACCTTTGCATAAATTATAACCATCTAATAATATTTAATGCATGATTGAAAATTTAAAAATAACATATATCACATGCGTCCTTCGTTTAAAGTTGTGCTGACAAATGTAGAAATCAATAACTTAAAAAGAGGGCGCCTCTTATGGCTATGTGAGGTTGGTCAAGAAGTGGCGTCTAAAAAGCCTTTCTGTTTTATCCTCCTGCGGTCATGAATTTTTCCATTGAATATAATTTCAGCCGGATCGACTTGGCCAAGAAATTTGTATTTATCAAGAAATTTTCCGAAATGTTTATTTTGTCTGGAATTCTTTGACTGTCGTAAATTCTCTAATTATCTAAAAACACAAACCTGTCGTCCGAGTGTTACGCAAAAACGGAATTATTTAGCAAATATTCCTCGAAAAAATATTCCCTAAAATTAGGTTTTAAAGGGAATTTCTTCTGAATAGAAACTCGGATTATTAATTAAAGATTAATTAATCGTCATGGCTCAACAAGAATCATTTCTAATAATTCTCGCTGAGCATTATTGGGTAACATCAAATTCCCTCTCTTTAAAAGTTCATCATATTGATCTTGTTCGTGGTAATAATCTTAATATTCTTCATGATCTTACACTTGTTTCATCTTGAAATAAATAACGCTAAAGGTCTTTAATCATTCGTGGGAGGACTGAGATAACCGGTAATTAGAACCGGTAACTTTTGTAGTTGTACCAACCATTCGTCGGTAAAGATATTGTTGAAGGTAATATTTGGAATATTTGAAATATTAATATATATAAATAATTGATTCGGACGTAATTAAAAATCGAGGTTTTGGGGATTGAGTCAAAGCAAAATTAATTTTGACAACATATTAACATATAATTTGAAGCCGTGTGTTCAAATAGTCAATAGCAGCAACAAAAAAAAAAGTTATACATGATGTACTGGATATAAGATATTGGTCAATGAGACTGGCCAAAGTTAAGCTTAATCCAGGCCATTGTTGTGAATTACTAAACTTGACTAACCTCCCCCGTATTGATAATAATGAATGTTTGCTGAAATTGAAAAGTGAATGAGAAAGAATATGGAAGAGACCTTACATTTTTGGGTTGAAGACTTTCTTATTTGAGAGGTGATAGAAGTTCCAAGACCACGGCCAATTTCAATTGAAGAATTGGCTCATTCGGATTTTATTGAAAGGGTGGGAGAATTGAATAACCATCTAAATAAAATAATGTAATAAATTGTGAATTATTTAAACCATATCAAAAAGAAGAAAATACGGCCACCAGCTAGATTATCAAAAGGAAACAGTAAACAAAATTATTATATTAGATATACAGTAGACAATAAAAACAATAAGATGCAGCAAGAAATTAATAGATCAACAAAACAAAGACATGCGTTATATAGCAGCGATTAGAAAAGTAGAAGTTAAAAGAATTAGAAAATACAAAACCTGAAACAAAAGCCAAGGAGAAACAATTGAATTACATCTTTAAACGGCTAAAGCTCAACTCAAAAAAACCTTCGAATTTGAAGATGATGGGTGATCTTTCCACTCGAGGTTTTTTTGACTCCCTGAACTTGCCGCGTGCTGATAAAAAATTTGGGATCTTTGCCATATTAATATATGTAATTCATGTGTGCATCATAGTGACAGGTGTGATTTCCAAGCCAACAATGGTTCTTCAAGACAGATTATAAAAATGCTGTATGACATATTTTGCTTATATTACATCAGCATTGCATCATTATAAAAGTTTTTTATTTTTATATATAATTCACATTTTTATTTTTTCACACAACAAAAAAAGATAAATTATGGTAAATCAGATTATTATTATTGTTGAGAAAAAAGTTTTTTGGATCAATTATTAACAATTTCCAAATTTTCAATTATACATTATACAAGGCGACCAGGAATGAGTCAATAACAACAACAAAACTTTCACCTTTACAAGTTCACTATTTAAAAAAAGAACTTATAGCCAGACAAATAAGAAAAGAAATTCAATTGTTTTCTGAAGTTGGTTCTATAAGCTCGTTATTTTTCTGGGATGAAATTGATGTCAACAGCAACGACGACAATAACGCTATCACAAACACTAATAACGTTGCAACAACAACGATAAAAAAAGATGAAATAAGCACTCCATTTTTACGTTACGTTTTTATAAATTTCGTGTTCACCTTTCCATTTCTACAAAATGTTGATAAATTCTTTTGGGTAAAAATCAAAGATTTCCTAGAAGAGTTCTCAAAGAAAAACATTAGTTCCACCACAACAAGAGACGAGCAAACCAAAAGAAAAAGATTGGCCGAGAAAATAGTTAGTGAAGTGACATTAATGTTTAATGCTGGTTTGAAAGTAAGTTCAGGCAAAGAAGAATCAATTAAAGTTGATTTTGATAGTTTGAAGAAACACATTCCCTATAATTATAGTTATGATGACGATAAAACTGATAAAACTGACAACATTAATATTATTAAATCTGATAATGATAATGATGATGATGATAAAAAACACGATTATAATAATAATGGTAATGATAAAAACGAAGAAGATATTGAAGCTGCGTATAAGGAATACTTGTTTATAAGTGATTATGAAAAATTTATAAATGGTTGGAATGTTAATGTAATTTCTGTAAGAAATAAAATAAAGAAAATACATAAAATCAGGGAAAAATCTTACCTTGTAAGTACCTATATCTATATACAATATGATGATGATTATTCACAATTTACCCGTTCATCTAACCACTAATTTGTTCATTATGCATTGATTAATTCAAAGGAATTTATTATTCAATCAAAACGTTTAAACACCGATGAAACTCAAATTGTTGCAAGAAGTTTTAAAGAATTTAAAATTTTAACCATGAAAGTAAGTCTATTTATTGTACACCATCACATTATATTTATATATTTATTTGTGTAAATGTACACGTAAATATATATATAACATGAACATTAGTTAAAAAAAGATTTTTTTTAATTATTATTATCTTTTTTAGTTGAAAGAATCATTCCCATCGATTAATGTTCCACCGGCACCATCAAAATATAAAATTCAAAAAAAAGCATCATTAAACAAAAAAAATTTTTCAAACAATATTGATTATGAATCTGAAAAAAATCGTCAAAATTTACGTGGACACTTGATTACATTAGTATCAATTAAAGAAATTGCTAGATCAAAAGTGTTTAGATTATTTATAACTGAAAAACCAATACAACTAACTAGTGAAGAGTTAAAGGAAGCCGAAAAACATAAAGAGTTGGATAAATTTAGAGAACAACAACAAAAATTGTTTAATAAGGAAGCTGAAAAAAGAACAAAAGAATTGGAGCAGCAAGTTTTGGAATTTAAAGAAGAATTGTTCAAGTCTGGTAAATAAATATTTGGGGGTTTTTTTTTTATTCATTAAAGGATATATAATTATAATGCCATTCATTATTAATGATTATTATGATTATTATAATTATTATTTTTAGGAGGATTATCAAAGGTTTTGCAGACAGTTCAAGAAAGCAAAAAAATAACAGATTTACCCTTTACTTATCAAAAAATTATTGAATATGGTGAAATTAGGTTTTTATAACAATGATTTTAATAACATTATCAGAAATTAATATAATCCTCCACTGATACTAATTTTTTGAGTAATGACAATATTTTATAGTTTTGCTTCAACATTATATTCATTATTTATTGGATCAGATAATAGCAGTGAAACATTTTCACAATTAAAACGTACACACAACCTGATGCCATATCGATTAATGAAAACTGTAATGAAAATTTCTAATCCTGTTGGTATACTAAGATCTATCATGGATATTTTCTTGGCACAGCCATTTGGCCAAAAAAGTTTAATACAAAGGTATTGTTTGTTTTATAAATTCTTTTTTTTAAATTTACCTCTTTCTTTTTTCTTTGATTTGTAGTTGTGGCAAATTAATTAACCTTTATGAACGATTATTAGGATGTTATCTGCGAATTTATATGAAGAGATAAAAACACTTAACAATGATATGAAAATTGTAGAAGAGTCCATTAATGATCCTGAAATATGTGAAAAATTACGAAATTTTGTTTATGCTTCATCCGATACTCAAAAATCCATCAAAAAAGATGTTTCGGCTGCACGTTAGTATACTAAATAATAATAATTTCAATTGTTTTTATTAAATAGTCAATCAATCAATCATTGATTAATTTTATATTTTTTTGTATAACGGTAACAACAATAACAACAATATAGATTCA